CACTCTACGGACAACGACAATACTGCAAGCAAATGCTGGTCTAACGCAAGGGGAAGGTGCCAAGACAGTAGGGAAGAGATGAGATCGCCGAGCTTGATGTTTAGGGAACTGGCACCACGCGCATGGTGTTGGTGAAGCCAGAGCCAGGACGCCATCCTGTAAGGACTATGACCAGATCACCAGTCTTGAAGAATCCACGAGCTTTGCCTAGAAAGAAGAACAGTTGGTTTTATACTCCACCCTTTGCTACCCAAAGGAGTCTCGGAACAGCTTGCAATCCCCTTCCCTTCCCCCCCCCCCAACAGACACCCTGTGAGGTAGGTGGGGCCGAGAGAGTCTGAGAGAACTGTGACTGGCCCAAGGTCATGTGGAGGAGTGGGGAATCAAACCCAGTTCTCCTGATTAGAGTCCTGCTGCTGTTAACCACCATACCAAACTGGCTCACAAGGGAAGAGATACCCCTTAAAGGCTACAAGACCAATGCTAGTAGCTGTGTATGACAAAAGGGAAATAGGAAAGCATGGCTCTACTTTCCAAGGAAGCCAACACAAAATCTAATGTAGGACCCCAGTGATACATCTGAGTTAGCTTTAGCTGGTTTCAGAATTAGTATTCTTGACAGTTGGGTCCTAAAGGTAGGGTGTCCCTACTCTGGACACCAACCAAGCACTGTTACGAAACATATAGGAATTAAACGTTGCTAGAAAAACGCTTCTTGTACAGACTGTAGGCATTCCCTATAGCTTCTGTGCCAGTTACGACATAGGAAAGCAGAGCTGAGGACTACTTACCAACATCCATGCCCAGGTTCACTCTGAGGTCAACGTCTTCTGCCCAGGCATCGTGGGTTGGCTCTTTGCACAGCACTGGGAAAATGCCACGGTAGAGGTGAGCCTGGCGGGCTGTCTGCTCATTACGGGTCACAGCAATGATAGGAGCACGGGGGCGGAACCTGGACACTAGGTGAGCAGACCTGGAAAAGCAGGACACACAGTCAGCTCAGCCACACCATCTCAAGCGTCAAGCCTAGCTGGGCCGTGTAAAGGCACACAATGAATCCCAGGTACAAAAAGCAAAGTCAGAAGTGAGCTAATATTGATTCTAAGGATACCCCTGAGGGGCCCTTCACTCCCTTTTGCCCCTCACCAGCTGTAGCCTTATCTATGGAAAATGGTTACAACTGTGCTTTTAATTGCACTCCTGGATGGGTTTCCATTCATACAATACCCACGTAACATTCAGACAAGTGTCATTCCCAGCATGGTAGACCCTGTCTGTTCAAAGCATACTGGGGAGCTGGGGCTGCTGCTTAGCAGCAGACTGCTCAAGATTTCCAGCTATTTCAGCACAGATCATCAAAGCAGGTCTGATTTCCCCCCTTTGAGTGGCATACAAAGGCCAGTGGGGTCCTAGCCAAGATTAATGGAAGCCACATATTACACAGGAAATTCTATCAAATAAACTTAGCTGAATTTGCCTTGACACTGATGCATTGGATAGACTTGGTTTAGCCAGTAAAAGCTTCGAAGACCAGTGACAGAAGTGCCTTTGTGACTTTTGACACAAAATGTCAAGGAGATAAAGTTCTCGATTTCCAAGTGCTGGCTGCTGTCCTAAGCCTCGTATGTAGACAGGGAGTCCTCCACAGAAAGGATCTGCTCCAGAACGCTGCTTGAGCCGCATATGATAATGCCACAGCAACTTCCAAACAGAAGGGAAATTCTACTTATTCTGCCACTTTGCTCACTGAGAGTATCATCTTGGACTGAACAGGGATCACACGCTAGGACTCCTAAATTCGACATACAGGAAATGCAAACTACCCCCCTGCCCAGAATGTGAACGGGAATACTACTGCTGCTCTGTAGAATGAGAGCAGAAGGCTGTGTTTGGATGTGTGCAATGGGGCTTTTGTTGATTCCTGTCACCAAGAATAAAAATCACACAGCATGAATGAGCACAATCAGTACAAGTCTCAAACAGAATGATTTGCTGCTATCAAGACCACAACACTCCGTATGGTATAAAAAAACCTGTGGCTCACGGCAACCCAGATGAAATAGAAACCAGAGCTAAATTAGACCTTGAAAGTTCATAGATTTCTTCAGAAAGGTCAAGTCTAAGGCTGACAGGAATCTTTTACAAGCAAACATTAAGGGTGCAGGGACACAACTGTGCTATAGCTTCAATTCAGCCCAACTCAGTGGAGCAATCGGAACAGATTTATGGATAAGTTACGACAATCTACAGCTGTCCACTGATCAGATGCAAAGTTTCCCCTTTCACTCTGTTCTCTGGTTTATTCTGTTTTTTTAAACAGAAAGATCCCCAAGCTTGTAAAATTGCTACAGCAAGCTATGCATCACTTGGGCAATCCCATGTTTCTGGGTAGTTTGTACGTCTTACAAGATACAATTTGCCATGATCTCTGCACCAATTTTAGCTCCAAATAGCACAGACGTTCCTGGGCTGGTAGACAGCAGATGGTTATAAAGCACTTTCCCCATATGTCAGATGTAACCAAGCTATACTTCTCCCTGTGCACCTAATTTCTATAGAATTCTCTTGGTTCTTTACGATATTTATAGTGTAGCTGTCTCATATGTTTGAATTTTGTGGCCTGCTCTCCAGTTCAAGTACACTCTCCTGGCTATTACAGAAGCAGCCTTGGGTAAGACTGATGGGGTTTTGACTGGCCTGATTCTTATGGACAGCACAAGCTATTTTATTGCACATCTGTTTTTCAGCACCCATCTACTACAATCTTGCAGAAGTGTATTACTGACCAATACTGAGTCAGCAATGCCATTCTGCATTCGTGTAAAATCCAAATATTAAGTATTCTATTAGACTATACTGTGATGCAGCCAAACTCCAATCCCGGGCCATGCTCTGCTTTTTCTTATCGGAAGGCTTTTGGACATATTCATCTGGCCACAAAATTGGCAGCAGACGCCACAAGTACCTGATATGCTTTGACAATGGGCTAACTCCTCAACTGAAACAGGAAGCAGGCGTTACATAATGCCTCCTCACTTGAACTTCTGCATGCATGAAGATCTGAGGCAGCTTTGCTCCATCCATATTCACAGAAAGGGGAGTCTGTGGCTGCTCAGCGCAGGACTCCCTGGACGGAAGGAGCCACAAGCCTCAAGGTGCTTCCCAAAGGAGTCTGACTCAGCATTTTCACAGGAAGTGCCAAGTTAAGCCGTTTTATTCCACCAGGATCTTCAGTGCTTGTATTCCCCAGGCTTCAACTTTTACAGCCTAGCGTCTACCATCTTGGCTATATGAGCTTTAACTGTTCACACTCTGGAAGGAATCCACGTGCTGTAACTACATTTTGCTATGATGTCTGACAAAAACAAAACCACCATTTCATTGCTGTAAGCCATGCTGAGACTTGTTTTGGAAAGACAGTACCACCATCTCATACATCAACCACCCCAGGATGCAGGTAAAGCAAAAACCAGAAGGCAGCAATGCAATTAGACGCTCTCCTCCACCCAGACTCCTGAAATCTCAGTTTTTCCAGCTGAGGTAGACACCTGGAAGACAGATTTATGTAGCTTATCTGGCCACCTGCATGACCGAAGTCCCTGCGACTTCCGGCAGAACCTTCCACCTCCTACCTTCCAGATTTGGTGAGTACGATAATGGCCCCACTGCAGCACTTGAAGGAAGCTTCTACAGCGCCAACAGCGGCGGCTTCAGTAGGATCCCGGTTCAGGGGGGCCAGCCGACGGAGCTCTTCAAACAATTGCCTGTGAAAGATGGCTGCCTCGGCTTCGCGAGCAATCTACAAGAGCAACACGCGTCCGGAAGACGACATTCATGTCAGTCACCACTAGCGGCATGAGTGATGGTGGGGAGCTATCCTCGGCAGAGCACTTGCAAAGAACTGAAGAGCTTATCCAACCAAAACAAACAGCAAACCCGGGTTGCCAGTAGGTTGATGGGGCAACAACAGCCACCCTCAACAAGACCAACCAGTGTGTGCTATCTGGACTGCATCCACTCACGGAGCAAAGGGATGCAGGGATAAGGCTCCCTTCCAGAAGAGAACATCTGCCAAGTCTCCCCACTCCATTCTGCCTGCAATCTTTACACTCACCCATGCACTACTGCCAGTCACTCTCGCTCTGCTTCTACCTACCTCAAATCCTGCTGTGCTAGAGGGATGAAGACTGAAGATTTTAGTTACAGAAGAATGCTATATGAGGGCTGGGTTTCCTGCTGGCAGGAACCACCGGTTTGAAGCAGAGGCTTGGTTTTTAGATGACTGCTTGGAAATGAATGATGGGTTATCTTACAAACTCTAGTTAGCTGCCTAACTGTGCCCTACCTGCCAGATTCTGTCAAAACTATCAGAGCTGCAGCTAAGCACTTAAAAGAGGCCTCCACAGCGCCTACAGCCATGGCATCAGCAGGGTCCCTGTTGTTAGCAGTGATGCGGAAAAGTTCTTCAAACAGCTGACGGTGATAGATAGCGGCCTCGGCCTCACGAGCAATCTGTAGGCCAGAGTGAGAGGGAGGGAGGAAAAGAAGACCAACACAGAAGGAAGGAAAGAGATACACCAGAGTGATATTGATCAAGTTAATCTGTGATGAGAGTTAATTGCTTATTTATCAGTCTTGCATGCAAGAGTAAGAGACTGGGTGGTGCAAAAGCTTGGCTTTCAAGTTAAAAATCAGGTGCCTGCAATGGTTAAGGTGTAAGCCTCATTTAAGTGTCCAGTAGATGGGAAGTACCTATGAAAAGGACCAATATGCATGGAACCAGAATTTTGAACAGATTAATATATCAACTTAGAGGCAATGTCACTGAATGGGTCAAGATTTTTATTTTGGTTAAGAGCTAGTGAAATACTTCACCCTAAGGAAAAGGGCTCCAAAAACTCCCCTTAAGTCACGAATCCTTCTAATGCACCACCCTGTCCCTTAACAGGAAATCAAGTCTTTTTTGGCTGTAAAGGTCACACAAATTATGTTTTAACAGCCAAGATAATTGCTACCCAATGTGCAAGGATGCCACCAGAGCCCCAAAGATTGCAGGCTACTGACATTGGACAATTTCAAAAACGGTTATTTTCTGTACAGTGCTAGTTTACACAGCTGCCAAATGAGTGGCTCGGAATTGCTTGTCACAAAAATACACAATTTTTGATTGAACTACATAGTAATTTTAGCCAGCCAAAACAGAGACTTGCAGGGTTTTAAAAAGCATGCAGAGAATAAAGAATTTTAGCTAGACAGCTAATAGATTAGACAATTTGATAAGATTATTTAAGACAAATGTTATAGTACCTTCTGTACAAGAACTGTAATTTATTTCTGTTCTTCAGCCCTATGAGGCAAATTAGACCCATTTTACAGAAAATGAGCAGGTGTATAGGACAGTAGGAACCCCAAACCCAGTTTAGTTAGTTACCTGGATAATCAGAGCCATACATGCTCAGTGTCACACAGCTGCAGAGATGCTTTGCCAGGCCTTAGCCCTATCAAAACCTCATCCAGGAATCTACCTCAGGTAGCACATCAATACAGCCTAGTTCTGACAGGTGAGATATTGCTTCTAAGACCCTGCTGCTTCAGAATGCAGTGTGCACAGATGTGAGATGACTGAGTGCTTCCCTATAGGCAAAACAATTATTTCCACACAAAAAAAGAACTGGCCTGCTGGAAAGCATGGTTTTGAGTTCTAAAACCAGCTCTGGACAGTCCAGGCATAGCTTTACAGGTTTATCTGCTTTCTAAAAGTACATGACTGGAATCACACAAAAGGGGCATTGAGCCATGAAGCCATGTGCTTGAAGCCTAGAGACCATGCAGCTCTGCAAGGTTTTTTATCTTCTTCTGTACTTGCTTTATCTGCAGCTCAACTTGGTTACAACTGGGAACAGACCTTTTCTTTGTAGGTAACTAATTTCACTTGCTAGTGTTGAGTATCGTGGTGGGGGAGGACCTTGCATTTTACTATTCTCTTTAAAGTTCCACATCTTTTCCCTCTCTTAAAATGAAGCCAGTGGTGATGAGTTTCATCATGAAGCTTAAAGGCAAGAGCATCCAAACTACATAGGAAAACCAAGTTTGACTTTGGTCTGGGGAAGATGCTTATATACCAACGGTCTATTTTCACATCACCCCGTATTTCATCCACAGTAATGCTACAAAATCATATGCACAATTACTTCAAAGTTCCAATAAACTCAGGATTTCCTGATAAGCATGTACAGGATCATACTGTGCATTGCTTAAAGGATGTTGTGAAATCTCACTGCTATAGCAAGCTACCGGAGGCCAGTGAAGTCAGCTTCTCTGATCATTCTTCAAAAAGGATGCTATTAGACCATTAGTAGCCAGGCAATGAGTCCTATCTGCCATTCAGAGGAACTGGTTCCCACATCTATCTTCGTGTTTTGCCAGGTTACAAGAAGAACATTATGAGGTAGCGTTAGAACCCTCCTCTCTGTTACTGCAGAACTTGTCCTGAATAAGCTAGCTACCTTGAAGTGCAGTTTTCATACTAGTAGGTTATCAGGGCTATAACTCACAGCAGGCAGCCAACGCAATCAGTACTTTAATTCTGGTACTCAGTGAGTGGTCAATAGGAAACTGGAGAATTCCAAGCAGAGCAGAGAGTTTTCTGGCAGTTTAAACATGTAAAAAGTCAGTCATGCACTACATTTTAAAAAAAATACTGTACATTTTTAAAGAACACTGTACAACTTGAGGAAATTGCCCCAGCCCAGCCCACCACATCGACATTCTAGCATCTGACATTACTTTTCTCAAAGGATGCAACTGGAAGTGGGTCTCCCCTTGCCTCATATAAAACCCATAAAGGAGGGACACAAGGGAGGGAATGAATATGTGAGAGAGCCCAAGCAAACTCTGAAGTGGCTAAGCAACAGATTCTTCAGATTCAGGGTATTCTAGAAGGGGGAAGGTCATGTAACTCCAACATAATATGAAACCATATAACAGGACTATCTTATTTCAGATGCTTTCAAAGCCATTAGTGGCCATATATAAATACTATAACTTAAACCCAGATGGTTATCACTTACAAGGTGCTGCATACGAACAGCCTCCAGAGGGTAGTCTCCTTTGGCAGTCTCACCGGACAGCATGATACAGTCTGCTCCATCTAGAACAGCATTGGCTACATCACTTCCTTCTGCACGTGTTGGACGCGGTTTCTTAATCATGCTCTCCAGCATCTGATGGTAACACAAACCAGTTCAAATGTAAGGAAGCCTAATCATTTATTTACTTTAAGAGAAACTGACAATAATTTCGCCATATGCCATTCTAGGCTGCTTAAAACATATATTACTGTAAACTGACAGATAACATAGGCGCCAAATGAAACAAATTAGAAGAGTTTCTAGTGGCCAGAAGTAGTACATCATGGCCCTGTTTGTTTTAGTCTCCGCCAAACACATTAATACCACTCAATATGTGTAAGAATGACTATAGTTTAAAGTTCATTTGTCTCAAGTACCTGAGTAGCACAGATGATTGGCTTGCCGGCCCTGTTGCATCGACCAATCATCATTTTCTGGGCAAGGAAGACTTTTTCAGCTGGAATCTCAATACCAAGATCACCACGAGCTACCATGATACCATCACTAGCATCCATAATCTCATCAAACCTGTAATGCAAAAAATAATTTCATTGAAGGTGAATTTTGGAGTAGTGTTAAATGCATGTGTTTTGTGTGAACAGGGGACACAAATATTCAAGAGCCAGTCCTGTACTCATCAGTGTTTGCAGCAATCATATCCAGAACTGTATCCTATGCCTCAGAACCAGTCAGTACACAAATGTATAATTTACTGCAAGGTTTCTGCTTATGATGTAGGCCAGAGTTGACCCCCTGTAGCAGTATCTGACAACACAGAAAACAGACTATTGCATGTCAGCTCTTATTTGCATCCTTCATTAGAAGAAACTCCCCATAAATGGTGATATTAGAAAGGATAACAGAATTTTAGCAGGTTAAACCTGACTCTCAGATCAGTTTTTAAGAACTAGTCTTCACTTAGGCAATGCCCTCTGAAAAATGATGGCACTAGAGGAGCAGGGTTTATGCTAATAAAGCAAATGTCTACTATGGTGGTTAGAGCTAGTTTACCTGCGCACTCCCTCGTGGTTTTCAATCTTGCTAATGATCTTGATGTTCTTTCCCTTTTCCCCCAGCACATTTCTGACAGCATGAACATCAGCTGCTTTGCGAATGAAAGAAGCAAACACCATGTCCACATTCTGCTCTACACCAAATTTTAGATCCTGGATGTCCTTCTCAGAAACAGCAGGAAGGTCTACTGCAGCACCTGGCAAGTTGACGCCTTTCTTGCTGCCCAGCATTCCACCATTTTCAACTTCAGTGAGGACAAAGTCAGCACCTGTACAGGATTCCAAGAATTGGCACATTACTTTCCTAATAAACTGACTTACACAATATTATGCTTCCCTTGTCTAGTCCAACACCACTTTCTCACAGAGCATGTCAAATGAACAACAGCATTCACAACAATTAAAATGCCGAGAGACATTTCCAGCACACTGTTGCAGCTACAACCAAGTTCAGTCTTGTCAGCATTCTTCCATTATTTCAAACATTTTCCACATCCACATTCAACTTCACTTATTTTTGTAAAGACAACTAATTTAATTACTTCAAGACAGTATGTCAATCAGCCAGTCTGAAAACATGTTTTATGTTTATGGTCTGACTGTTCTGTTCTACAGTCGTCGCCATCCCCAACTTACCTTTTTCTTTAACCTGCAGTGAAATAAGACCATCATCCACATAGATTTTGCTGCCAATGTCTACAACTTTGATGAGGTTCTTGTAGTCCACCCATAGGACATTCTCATCACATTTCTCCATGTAGGCATTGTCCAGGGTCATTTTCAGAGTTGCCCCTTTCTTAAGCTCCACTTCTGCTGTGCCACTCTACAAGAACATGTAAATCATTAATGGAACTGTCCTAAGATATACTCGCCATAAAACTCCCTTACTGCCATCCTGATAGATACCACAGATTTCCAAATGCAACAAGGTTCTTATGAAGGACAGGAAGCTTCTAGCCCACAACCTACCCAATGCCCCATCTCTTTTGATGTTGCCTTCTGCTTTATGAAACGAACAATAATCCAGAAGTGCTCAACATCCTCATATGATATGGCCCTTTGCTGCCCCTGGAACAACAGTCAATCCCTAGGGCAGGCCGCTGGGGATACAGGGTCAGGGGAAGAAAATGAATGTGTGAAGTTTGAGCAAACAGGAACTTCCCTTCCTCACCTGCAAAGACTAGGATGACTCAGAAACATCCCCTGGCAGAAAAACAGGGTCCACATTTGATTTATAAACTGCTAGTCCTCTTCCCAGTCCTACCCCATCATCCCAGTCTTTTGTGCTATTTTAGGAAGGGCTGGGAAATGTCCAATTCCATTCCTTTTCTAAAGCAAGTATTTATTACCCCATCCATATACTGTCCTCACACAACAGCTACCTACATACAACTGCTCATGAAATTAGAAAAAACGTAAGCCTGTCTTAGAACAGGCAATCCTCAACTGCTTCAGTGGGAAATAAGAAACAAAACAGTGCCTCAACTTACACCCTTGATGAGTCCAGTACGAATTTCAGGTCCCTTAGTATCCAGTGCAACAGCAACAGGTCTGTAGGTGATAGGATTAGAAGCAAAGCTCTCAGTAGCTTCTCGCACATTCTTGATGGTACCTGCGTGGTACTAATAGAGAATATCCAGAGGTTACACAATATCAAGCACCCATTTCCTTGGCATATAGTGTCTTATTTTTCAATATGTTTCCTAGCCAAACCTATACTGTGTCTGTCCCTTGCTTCAATGTGTTGCCAAGCTACAGTGTTGACAGCTGAACAATCTATTTCTTATCAATGTTTACTGATGTCTTGCCAAATATGAGCAATACTTAAATCAATTAGTTTTACAGCATAAGCAAGAATGACTGAAGACTGTTGTTCTATTTATTCGGGAGACTAAACAGCATGGATTTTGTTAACAAGCCCAACACTGCTCTTTCATCCACTGCCTAATGTCAGCCATGTACTTAACTGCAGTTTTAGGTACCTGTATCCATGTTAAGTGTGCCAGGTGTTAACCAAACTCACAGCTTCAGCAAATACTACAATCATAGGTTCAGCTGAAAAATGCACACAGAGAACACTGCTCAAATTGCCTTCAGCTCTAGTCAATCCAATTCAGAGCAGTTCCTCTACCTATCAGATTACTTTTTCAGATTACTCATACAATAACTATCTGCTTATCTTGATCAAACAGCAGCATATAGCAGACAAAGTTCACAATCAAGGTTATGCAGGTTTCAATTTATAGCTGCTGGAGGCAGGAAGGAACAAGCCATCCTCATTCATGGCTCCCTTACAGTGCAATGGGCCAAGAACGGGGGACGACAAAAAGATTTAATTCAATTAAGGAGACAAACTTCGGATGAGAAGTAGTTTAAAATATTGTATACAAATGTATTGCTATGAAGAAGCAGAACAAAAATTAGTTTTACATGTAAAATATTGGACACTTCTACTGTGTTTGATGGACAGTGTTTTAAAATCTTTGTGTAATGAAGGGGGTGTTGGGAAGAAATATTTTCTACTACATGATATATGATGACCTTCCTTTTTGTATTTTCATCACACTACCTGTTTTCCAAAAGTAATAATGAGTCTGCAGCAATGGTGAAAGTATGCAGTACTGAGTATGCAGCAATGGTGAAGCCAATTTATTTGAAAAACATATTACTTGCAAAATTTGACATGTAAAATGTTGAATACAAATGTATTCCAACAGAAATAATTTCTAGGGTATCTTATACAGTGTTCAAAAATGCTTTATTGGAATGAAGGGGATGTCAAGGACAAATATTTCTTATCTTTTTAGTGATATAATTAAGTTTCCTTTTCTGTATTTCTTTACATTCTCTCTCTCTCCCCCTGCTTCATGGGGAGGGCGGTATAAGTGTCTAATAAATAATAAAAATATCAAGATTTACTTTTAAACCATCTACTCATTTAAAAAAGCTTCCTGTTAAATGGAGCTTCTGCCCCAAAATGTTAAGAGTCACAGACAACCTCACTCCTTGACATTTTTGTGGTTAGCTCTGCCTTCCCGTGGCAGTCATTTTGCAGTTCTGCCCACCACCTCGTGTCAGAATTCCACAGGTATCCCTGTTGTAACCAAACACTGGGACATTCAGACAGTAACTGAAGTTTTGGTGAGACAAAGTAAATAGGCACTCTTCAGTATTAGAGGTGGGTTTTTATTCTTTTTAAAAACCATAAGGCTCGCGTATTGACTTATAAATTTAAAATTATATTATTTTTGACTGACACAGTATTTTAATAGAACGTTTGAGCCCACTAGCACCTTTAAGACCAACAAAATTTTATTCAAGGTATAATATAAGCTTTCGTGTTGCCAATGGACTCATTTGTTCTGCTGCTTCAGACCAGCCCGGCTACCCACTTGAATCTAACATTTATTTCAATGTAAAATTAAAAGAGAAGGACAAGGCAGAGGGAAGAGTGCAGATCATATAATGAACTAAGACGAAGCTCTCAGTAACTTGCTGCCCAGGTTGCAGCTTGACCTTTAGGAAGTAACAGAAACCAGCTCACAGGCATCTAGGTGGCCTTTAAGGAAAGTTGTAGTCAGAAATGGGAGCCTTCCAGTCCAGTGGTAATAGTGAGAAGGCTTTTTTTATTTATAGAAGCACCCTTGCCTTCTACTGCCAGTTACTTGCATTTCTTGTGACCTTAACCTTTCCCAAGCCCCCTGTCTTTAAAAGACCAAGGTCCTATTCAAGGCAAGTTGCATTCCCATCCTTACTTGACAAAAACCCTGGAAATCGCTTGGTTTCAGCAACAGTTACTCCTTACTAATCAGATTTGGCAAAAAGGAACTAACCCAGACATCAGCAGGTACTAAGATCTTCTTAGAAGACAGCAGTGGTTTTTAATAGACATCCTATATGATCAGGACCCAGTTAGCTTTAGCATCACTGGGGTTTTTTAACCACTTCTAACAGAAAGTGAGGCTGTACCTACAAGGGCAAGCATGTTTTAGGTCTTGTTTATAAGTCAGACATGCAGCAGCAGTATCTGGTAATTCAGGAGTGACCTTTAGCAGGTGAACTGAAATGCACACTCTATACTGTATCAGGCAACAGGGACTTTTTTTGAGTTATAGCCTCCAACATTTGCTCATGCTTGCCCGAAGTCTGCATGGCAGTTGATAATTTGGATTTCGAGGTGGTCTTTCTTGCAAGAGCTATTTTTACATCTTTCTGTTTAATTACTAGAAGATTTTACATCTGAAAGCTTTTACAGAAAACAAACTTGAATACTGCACTGGCTTCAAGAGAGGACTTTATAAATGGGAAGACAACTGTTACATTTACATACAGGAAGTTATGTGGAGTTGTAAAGCACTGGGGATCAAGTCAAAAATCCATTATGCATCATGCATCTTTTTGACTGCCTCAAGAAATGAACCAAGAAGTAGGACTTGAAGCCATGTGCATTAAGCTGGATCTTGCCAGAGAAACATCAACATCCATAACTGAACTATGCATTATTTTTTAATTTAGTAGGAACTTCATCCCTCAGATCCAATGCAGCTTGTGCCAAAGTCTGGGCCAACAGAGTTCTTACGCAAGTTTATCCTTCAATCTGTCCTCACCTCATGAGTACCATGAGAGAAGTTGAGACGGGCGACATTCATTCCAGATTTAATCATTTCTTTCAAAATTTCCACTGACCGAGAAGCCGGGCCTAGAAATTTCAAGACAAACCTGTGTTAGTATGTGCCAGCTCAACACTTGTAAGATTATGAACTCACAGGCAAAGCAGCAGACACTGAGGCAAACGTAGTATTATCCGGAGTCAAATCTTCATCAACTGTATGTAGCATGTACCTCAACTGTGAACGAAACCTACAAAATGCATGGAAAATAATGTCCAGCATTAAGATGCTGAACTGCAGGCTGTGGAAGGTCAGTAGTTCAGCAGTTCAAGACCCGGGTGCCGCAAGACGGGGTGAGCTCCCGCCTCTAGTTCCAGCTCTTGCCAACCTAGCAGTTCGAAAGCAAGAAATTGCAAGTAGATAAATAGGGACCACTTCGGTGGGAAGGTAACAGCGTTCCGTGCACCTTGGTGTTTAGTCATGCTGGCCACATGACCATGGAAAACGTCTTCGGACAGCGCTGGCTCTTCGGCTTTGAAACGGAGATGAGCACCGTAACCCTAGAGTCGGATTCGACTGGCTTTCGAGCAAGGGAACCTTTACCTTTACCTAACCAAATAATAAATAAAGAAACCTAATAGTCCACCACTACAATGGTGCAACAGAAGGTTGGAATCAGCTTTGAAAGTGACTAAAGTGCCACCAGATAAAATATGCATGTGCTCCTCCGCACCACCTCCTATAACATTCAAATGACCTTACACAGGCTGCACCTGCAGCCTGGACATTTCTCCTGTGCAAGATTCCCTTCATGTTACCATGACACATTGCCAGCTGAACATTTGACCCCGGGTAGCACCCCAAACTAATCTGGAACACCTATCATATTACCTCTTTTGCTATTACCATCAAAACCCTGTGAAAGCTTCTAAGAAAATAAACAACTTAAAGCATAATACACAACAGAAAGACACCCAGAAAATTGTTAGTTCTTTATCTCACTCTTAGTACCCTTTTTCAGCTCAGCTGCTGTTTTGAGGTAGCCATATCATACCCTGAGGAAGGAAAACTTGAGAGGAATACACAGCCACAGTAACTGCAGGAACATGCTAAATTAAATCCTTTGTCATAAATTTGCTGGAAACAAAGGGTTGTTCGGTTATAGCAGTTTCTTTTGTTCAGTCGCAGTCGAGTCCGACTCTTCACGACCCCATGGACCAGATCACGCCAGGTCTTCCGCCATCCTCTGAAGTTTGCTCAACTTCATGTTTGTTGCATTTATGACACTGTCTAACCACCTCATCCTTTTCCATCCCCGTCTTCTTTGACCTTGTTTCTTTAGCCTTGTACTAAGCAACAGAGACTGAATTTGGTCAGAAAATCATGCATTTGACTGGCTCTGTCCAGTCTGTTAGTAGCTACAGTTCATCAGACTAGTTCTCCTTACTGCCACAGTTGCAAAAAAGAATACAGTTATCCTTTTAAAACTATTACGATCTTTAAATATTGCCTATCCTTAGTTCATGAGGCTTTACACACCTGACAATTTGTCTACAGTAAGCAAATTATAGATGAACTAGTATTGAGTTCTCAGATAACCAGAGTTTACATTTTCCATTTGTAGATTTCACTGCAGCCTCACCACAAAAAGGTGATATTGCTCAAATAAACAACCGATTTTGCAGCCAAAGGAGCTGGTCAAAACTAGAACAGTACAGGTACCGCCAAAACATGTGTTAATGTTATGCTAAAGCTCCACTTACCAATTGTGCAGATAATGCCAGTGTTTCTTGCAATGATTGGTGCAGAGTCAATATCCAGGCGACACATGTGTTCCAGGAATGTGTCTGCCATGGCAGCATGCAACTGCTGGGTCTGGATAAAGGCATCATGGGGTTTAGACATGGCTACTGAATTTTTTTTAACCTATAAATAAATAAAAGATATTAAGGAACATGTAGCAAAACCAAGTATTTATACTGGCAAGAGGTTTGCCCTTCCTAGAATCACAACACACTCACCTTCTGCTGTCCTTAATCCACTCCTTCTACTAAGCATTGGAAGAACAGTGGGAAGGCTGATTAGGAAATTGCACCATATAACTGAAATAACACTTTTGGGGTAGGAGGCTGCTCTGGAGTGCTTTAAGCAACTCTTCCGACCACCATTCCCACATAACCACACATCTCTGAACCAGAAGACCAAAAGGGATCATACCAAGGCATAAGCGCCTGGTTACACAGGCCTGTCAATCTCTATTTTCTGGGCAGCTGCCTGACTTTCAAAGGTGCTGGCTAGGGGTGTGTGAAAAAAATGGGTTCAGGTATATTCAACTCCCAAAATATCAGCATTTCCCAATATTCCCAAACCCCAATACCAGTATGGTATTCGGATTTAAGATTGTTCAGGAATCCCACCTTTTTCCAGCTCCATTATACTCAATGGGGAATCTATCTGGGGGGTCTGTTTTTTGAGGTCGAGGCACCAAATTATCAGCATAGCTGCTGGTACCTCTCCTCAATAGAACCCCCAATTTCCAAGATTGGACCATGGGGTCCAATTCTATAGGCCCCCAACGAAAGTGCCCCCATCCTCCATTGTTTCCAATGGAGGAAAAAAACAGCAAAAAAGGGAAGAGCAGTAGAAGCCCAGCAAAACTTAATCAAAGCCCCAGAGAATTACTCCAGCAGAAACCGGTGGTGGTGGTGGTGGTGGGGAGATTATTGCTAACTCAGCAGAATGAAGTGCCACTGTGGCAGACCAAACCCAACAGGACTAAGATCAAGCCACAGAATCTCTGCAGTAGAAACTGAGGAAGGGGCATTTTTGCTAGCCCAGCAAAACCAGTGCAATGCACAGTGTGCCCAGCACCACCAATGCAATCACGGAGTGCCCAGCAGAACCTAGTGCCACTGTGGCACTGCAAGCTTAAAATGACTGATTCCAAAATACAGTGTCACTAAGAAATCTGAGGGGGGGGGGAATTTTGCAAGTCCAGCATAACTAGCTACAATGTGCAGAACGCTCAGCAGAACCCAGTGCTACAGTCACTGCAACCTTAATGCAAGAAGATGGGAAGGGAACACAAAGAAAAAATGGCACGGGGGGGGGGGGACCTCTTGAAACTGATAAGACTCATTTGAGAAACTGACAAAAGCAGGAGGGAACTGATAGAAACCTCCAGATGCAGAAAGAGAAAAGGAAAATAGTCCCCCAGTCCCGATCTTCCTAGAAAATCCTGAATTTATCTTGGATTTCTTCCAGGATACCCCCCCCCTTTCTGAAAAATCCTGGGTATGATGTTTGGGATGCCAAAATATACCCAAAAAATAACAATAAGGTATTTTTCTGGTTACATTTTCAGCTCAGTAGACACATGTGAAAATATGTTTCTGAAACACATATTACAGGGACCCCATCCAGCAGAAACATTTGCCACATTACAGGTAATTGCAAGCAGGTCACCTGGGGGCACAGCTGATCTCACAGATTTGCAGGGAAAAGGGATGCAGATTGCAGGCTGGAGTCTTTCCCAGCCAACAAACATACAATTAATTTTTGCGTGTGTGTGAGCACATATGCACAGCAGTACAAACACATAGCAAGTCAAGGAGTGACAGTCAAGAGAGGTAAATTCAGAAAAAGATAGGCTAATGCAGGCAGTCTTAACATCTAGCTCTATATTATTGATCTGAATTCAGAGGCACATTTAACCAATGCTGAGATACTTTGTGAGTCACAACCAGTGTTCCCTCTAAGCTGAATTAGTGTGAGCTAGCTCACAGTTTTTTAGCCTCCGGCTCACACATTTTTGTCTCGGCTCAGGAAGGATGGCTCCAGAACACACTAATTTATGCAGTAGCCAAATCACCTGCTCATAACTTTAATGCCGGTAGCTCACAAAGTAGAATTTTTGCTCACAGGACTCTACAGCTTAGAGGGAACATTGGTCACAACCAGAGAACCACTGGCTTGGGGGACCCACTTCTGCTCTAACCCCCCAAAAAGTCTACTGTTGCATTTATGCACTATTCATCTTGGGGAAAATGGGAACTAAAACATCCCAAGAAGTTAAGGTATTTACAGTTGTCCAATGCAGCTTTACAGTAACTAGGTAAATCACCACTGACTAGTGGAAACTTTCTTAACTTAAACTCTGCTCAACAAGCGGAAGCTTTCTTAATTACGCCAAAGTATCAGAGCATCCTTCATCTCTGAAGCAGCGCTATTCAAAGCAGCTTTAGTCTTTGTGTCCTAGCTCTTTAACACAGCTTGGATCATCCAGAGAAGCTCCACCCTTTCTGGTCAGGACCTCTGCAGTACGTGCAGTTTCCCTCGCAGACAGGGCTCCAACTCAGCTGGATGTCATTTCAGCATATGTACCCTCCTCCCCTTAAAACATAAGGTCTCACAGAAGGTGCTGACTCCCTTTCAAATAATATACAAGCATCTATTACTTACAATTCAAGAAATTGTTGCTGTAGCGATGCTTGTTAGCACTTCACAGCATACAAATTACATAGCCAAGCTTACATACATTTAAAGTCTTCTGCAGAAATGTTTAGGCAACTTTAAAACACCACTCCCTTCCACATGCCTCAACTCAAATACTGGCTACTAAAAAAAATCTTCGCTTGTAGAAGCCAGATTTTGTTATTTGGGATGAAATTCCAATGTGGATTGTAACTGAGCCTAACTCAGCCTCACACTGAAATCAGCATAGAACAGTTTGGGGCTCTCACCACTTTCTGCAGTTATAGACAAAAGTTCATTTGTACTGTACTACCCGTTATAGTACATTACACCAGCTTAGTAGTTTCACCTCCACCTTCCAATTTAGATTAGCCATTATAATTCTGCATCAAAAGAAGTCAGCATCCCATGGAAACTCTAGCCATTTCATTACTGTGCTGAGCGTGCATTTTGATTGCAGAACTATCCTGAGTTTCCACGGTTTTTAAACTGAAATGAAAACCTGCCTAGAACATGTGCAGAGTGATGGGAAAGGATGGGAAGAAGACAAAATCTTGAAGCAGTGGCTTTACATTACATAATTTGCTTCACATCTGAGTTCTAACATAGCTTTTTTCTTTTTTTAAAAGAACTCACAATATAAGTGACTCCTGGAAAGCTGCACTGTTGAGCTGGCATGCTCACAGCAAGCAAATCATTTTTACCCACACAAAAATACAAATGAACAGATGCAGCCTCCTGAGGTACCCTTTGAAAACTAAGATCACATTACAGAGTGAAAGCTCCCTACACATTAGCAATCAAATTAAACCGAAGTCAAAGGACAAAACCATTATATAACATTGGGTAAAAACAAGCTAGGGCTGCAATCCTATTTGCACTTATTAAGACTGAGTGTGCTCTTCTCCCAAATCCTAGTTGCTTCATTAAACTCAGACCTCAAGAGCAGCCAATTTGCAGGGGGAGTGTGACAAGGCTGCCTGTCAAATCAACACAGTAAATGCTTACTATAATGGAGTAAAATGATTTTATCAAGCAAATGAGTTTCACAATCTCTCTAATCCTTGGCATTTTCTTTGGCAAACAGATAGCATTCAATTACTCTAAATTAAAAGGCTAATCAATGCATGCAAGAATTTAGATGGATAGCCACAGCAGCACTTGTCTGATTAAAAATGCAGTAAGCCTTTCCCCTGACCTGGATAGCCCAGGTTAGCCTGATCTTGCCAGATCCCAGATGCTAAGCAGGGTTGGCCCTGGTCAGTACTTGGATGGGAGACCAAAGAATACTAGGATCACTATGCAGAGCTAGGCAAGGACAAACCACCTCATAAGTCTGCTGCAATTTGATGTGCACGCACATTTCTTCTATCTGTAGTAACGTTATTAATAATCTGCAACAGGGCAACTTGTGAACTGTGCTCCTATCTTCAAAAGACTTTCCATTATCTTCCAGCTGTGCCCAGAAATGAGATCTTAACAGACAAGATCAAAATGAGATCTTATTGAGGAAATTCTTCATGTCACCTCACTAAAATCGCTTTTATCTCTGACCCAAGCAGGTGTCTATAGCCTGGAATCCTTCTGATACTAGCTTGCAAAGCCCAGATTAACTGACTCTGAAGGGTCAGGTGGGGCAACAATGCAATACAACATCAGCATTTTCCCTGAACAAGGGAAGATTAGCTGGCAGGCTAACGTATGATCTATCACAGAAGAGCTAAGTCACGTGATAAGCTTATGGTCATGTTTATCATGAATAACTGGTTAATGAGATGGGATAACCTCAATTTTATCGTTATGTTGGTCGTAGCCATGATTGAGAGCATTAAATTTCAGCTCACTGCTACCCTTTCTGCTAAAGAGTTCAGTTACCAGTTCACATCTAAAAGTGCAAGCAACTTATGCAGTAGTACAGGCTCCCCTCCTCCCCTGGAATCTTAAAGGGAAGTTGACTCCAGGCAGTGCTTTACTGTATTTGATGGCCAGTTTATCACCTTAAGTCCTCATTGGCAGGTTAAAAGTACCAAAATAAGTTTGATAATTGTAAACTAGCACCTAATACATGCAGTTTTAACTACAAAAGTTTCATATACTCCACTGACCAAGCAAAACAGAGGACCATTTCATACAAAGCAAAATGAGAACAAGCTCTACACTAAATTTAGAGACACAGCAAGTTTGCCTGGAGGAGCTTTACTACGCACAGACACAGTAGTGGCAAGAGACTGCAACTGCAGTCTCCTTCAGCTCCTACGTGCCAGCCATCACAACACACTGCAGCAGCGCTGCTGCGTTTGGAAGAGCCAGGCTAAATCAGTATATAAGGTTTTTTTTCCCTAAAACCAGGAGCACAGAGAACACAAACCTTCATTACATATGCTATGTTATCAACAAGCATTTTTCCTTCCCATTTACCAAGGGTCGTCAATATATGTGGCAAAGTAACAGAAGTAAACACTGAGGTCGGCTGAAGAATTTGACTATAGGTGCTTTGTGTGAGCAAGTGCCATTATAAACATTTCATTATTGTTTCTTCTGCAGAAAATAATATTAAGGACCCAAACCAAAGGCTTCACAGATAAAGTGCCTAAAAAAACAAGTAAATGTTGCTATATTTAACTACAGTGCATTCAGTACATTGAAATAAGTGAAGAGTATTGTGCTACCACAATGCTGTCTACCTGTTCATCGCTTCAGTGAAGCAATGAGAAAGCACATATGAAGACAATGATTTCATCCAATTACTACATAATATAGACCACATTATGACAAAATATAATAAACCATATATGAAGCAGTATCTTGCTTTCCAGTGCATTTTAAAGAATACTGACACAATTCTAAATTGTGTTTACAACCAGTGTCAAGAACTGCATCTCAGAAACCTAAATAAGTCTGTGAAATAAGTTTTGTGGAACTTACACCGTTTCCCATGAGACCTTTAGAATTACAGCAGCCTATTTCTTCAGAGAAACAAGCAATCTAAAGATTGCCCACAAATTCCAAAACTAAGCATACAAAAAACCCCATATGTTTCTGCCAACAAGAAACCAAGCTGCATCTGTAGCTCAGCCTTAGAAAGATTATCTCCCCTGCAAGAAGGCAGCCTGAAAAAGCTTGCAGTGACTACAGGTGTCCCAACTGGTCTTTGTTATACAACAGATGACTCAGCTACAGAGACTTGCCATCTCAGGTGTAGGCAACTCAACTTCTTGTCAACCCTCTTCCAGCTCAGAATGATTTGCGCAAGACACTATAGGCCAGCACTATCAGGAGAATGTTTTGACAGGTTAAACTAGCCTTGTGCTACCCACCCCTATGATACAGACCAAGGATAAGCACAGAATCTCTCATTTAGACTCAAGTCATGATGCCAAAGGCCTTTTTCCCCCAGCAGGCCACAACCAAGCAGCTAATTTTTAATTCCATTAATATGCCATTTGCTTAGTCATTTCCTTCTTTCTTTCTGGAAATTGCATCATAATCATGAGGTTGTCTGCACTTTTCTTCTCTCATATGCAACAATATTTCAAGATACTTACAAATGAGGCCTTACCACCATCAGGTCACACATTCAAATACTGTAACATCAAATGTTACCTGTAATATTGGTTTCCCAGTTAATTCACACTTTGCCTGGCCTTGGCAGGCATCCATTACCTGAGGCTGCCAGCCACCCCTTTCCCTTTAGCCACATACTGAAGAGGCAGCAGGAAGGGAGGGTCAATTTCACAGCTACTTCCTCCTCCAACAAGCTCTCTGCATGGGCCAGAACTTGAGGGTGGAGTACATACCTTCTACCTGGCACAAAGCAAAACTTGTCAGGAGTCACACATTCACTTGGTATCCAGAGGCAAATATCCGACAGTAACTGGACCAGATTTGTGAATTCAAAGTACAAAATTTTTTTTATTCCCCAATCAATCTACATATATCACTGCCCACGTTAATGTTTAAAACCTAAAGGGAGGTCTGGCTTTCTTTCTTTTTGCTGCCTAAAGCAAGGGTGAGGTATCGTTGATAATATAAAGAGCATACCAGAAGTCACTGCAATGGTGCAGCAAGTCCCAACTTGGCAGCAGAATCATGCCCACAGGGAGGCTGACAACATATTTATTCTCTTTAACCCTACAGCCTCTCATGCCCATAGCAGTTTTGCAACCCAAGATATCAGGCACATTTAACTTCTTGCAAAATTTAACATTCTTCTAGAAATGCTGGCCAAACAGCTGTAGTCATACAACCTTGTCCAACAGATTTCAAGGTGAAACTTGCTTCTACTTCCAAAAAATGGTGCACCAGGTTTCCTACAGCTGCTCCACTATGCAATACCAACACCCAATGTAAGGCAACCACTTTGATGGAAATCTCTATTTGCTCCCACCCAGCAAGTATGGAACTTTTGTCTTGCTCTGAGCTACAGCAACCAAGGTCATCCCAGGGAAACGCTGCCTCATTCTTGGCTAGGTAAGCAGTTCGGCCTTCTCATTTCACTTATCAAAAAACGCTAGATTGGGGAAATAAGGAAAACCGATTTTCTGAAGAGATACCTCCAGTGGGAAATCAGCCCCAAAACATTCTATACTTCAACAAGTCAGAATGAGTTCCCAATCATATTCTCACTCCCTACCTTACATTTGCTTTCCACCTTGCCAGAAATGCAGGCTCACAGCATTTCCAAGTAAATCTGAACAGCATTGAGCTGCACGGATGGAAGCTCCAAGATAAGGCTGGAATGCCTTTGCAACCCAAGAATGCCCCATAATAAAACCAGGCCGCCGCTTGTCTCACACAAAAAAATCTGAACCCTTGGGAAGGGGAGGGGGGCTGGGAGGACAAGAACCAGCCAGGCCAGAAATGGCACTGAGTGCAACCCGATCCCCTCGCAAAGCTCCCACCGGGGAGGAGAGACTAACTTGAGAGAGATTCCAACCACCCTGTTGGCCTGTGGCAGTAAAAATAAAGAACGCCTTGAAAGCCTGACTCAATTTTATTCCATCGTAAGCTTTGCTGCATATGACTCAGACGCACAGAGCCTCCGATTTGAAGCAGCGCTGGTCCATCCCATCCTGCAACCTTATGCTAAAAAAGATTTTTAGGTAGTCTTTAGGGGGCCACGAGGCTCCTAGAAAGAATGAAAGCAAAAAAAAAAAGAAGCAATAGTCGGGATGAGCAAACTTGCTTCCCTCGTTGGGGTGAAAAAAAGAGTAAGAAATAATAATAAAAGAGAAAGTCATGCTGGAACCTTTGCAGACGTTCTCGCCTCGTGCACTGTGAGACCTTCCCATTCTGCCCCCCCCCACATCGCACGTGCACAGACTTCCCCTCCCCCCCTTTTTCCCCTCCCGCCCGCCCCCGCGTTTCTCCGCGGAGATTTGGGCGGGGGCCATTTTAGCACCTCGAGGTTCGCCGGGAACTCCCCAGGAAAAGGAAACCTCTTGGGGGCTCGAGGGGGGGGGGCTGGCTTCCCAATTCCCTCCCCCCCCCCCGCATATTTCGCATCGCCTCCGAGCTTAGAAAACTCTGACAGGAAAGCGAGAAGAATAAATTTCTAAAAATGATGAGGGGGAAATAGGGAGAGGGATTTTGAAAATATTTGGCCTATTTCTACCTCGCCCTTCGCAGAGACCGCGAAAGGCCGGCCTACCCACCGCCCTCGCCTCCCCCAAAGGCTTACCGGCCCGGCTATCGACGTCAGTCCCCTCGGAGAGTCTCTACCTCTCTGAGCGCTCCTCAGGCCGGCTCGGGCGTCAAGGTGGTTGCGAACACGGGCGCAGTGCCGCCCCGCCGATCCCTCCGCCTGTCACTCACGCTCTCGCCCCGCCCCTTCCAGCGGCCCTCAAGCGGGCTCGGTAGGCGGAACCACTCGGACTACTTTCTCCGGCGCAATCGCAACTTACAGGAGGCACGCGGTGATGCGATAGGAGAAAAAGTAACGGTCCAATGGGGGAACGGCCACCCGGCGGGCACGCGGTGTGTGAATGATAACGGCAGTGGCATTTAAAGGAGCCGCGACCGCGATGCCCGGACTAAGAACAGCCCAGCTGGGTCAGACAATCCCGTCCAGCACCCTTCCCGCGCCTCTCACGCACTGGCCAACCCGTTGCCATGGAGGGCCCACAGATAGGGCATAGAAGCCAAGGCCTTCCCCCAACGTTGCCTGCTGGCACTGGTATTCAGACTCGCAAAGTTGCCCACCTCCAGGTTGTGGCTGGAGATCTCCAGGTATTACAACTGATCTCCACATGACAGAGAGCGGCTTACGTGGAGCAAATGGCCTCTTTGGAAGTTGGACTCTATGGCATTATACCCCATTGAAGACCCTCATTTCCCCAATCATGGGATAGGGTGGGATATAAATGCAATAAATAAATAAAACAAATAAAACCCCCTTTATCAGGCTCCCACCCCCAAATCTCCAGGTATTTCCCAACCCGGAGCTGGCAACTAGTTTTATTTTTTATTTATTTATTTTGGGATTTATATCTCGCCCTACCCATACGGCCCAGGGCGGCAGAGATTCTCAGAGATTCAGAGATTCTCTGTAGTAACCATAGCTGGTAGCCACTGATCAACCCTGTCCTCCGTTCATCTAATTCCTTTTCAAAGCCATCACTACAATGTAGGGTTGCCAGGTACCCCCTGGCCATGGGCAGGGGATGGGCGGTAAGGTTGCCAGATCCAGGTCGGGAAACTCCTGGAGATTTGGGGATGGAGCCTGGGGAGGGCAGGGACCTCAGTAGAGTGCAATGCCACAGAGTCCAGCCTCCAAAGCAGCCATTTTCTCCTTGGGAACTGATCTCTGTAGTCTGGAGATTAGGTGTAATTCCGGGGGATCCCCAGGTCCCACCTGGAGGCTGGCAGCCCTACTTCCTCTAGCACTGTGGATGCCACATTTGAATCATTCCTTGACTAAAGAAGGATTCAGGTGGGTGGCCGCATTGGCCTGAAGCAGCAGAACCAAGTTTTAAGTCCAGCGGCACCTTTAAGACCAACAAGGTTTCATTTGGGGTATGTGCTCTCACGTGCACGCACACTTCCAACAAGAACATGAAGCTTGCGTGCATACGAAAGCTCATACCTTGAATAAAACTTTGTGGGTCTTAAAGGTACCACTGGACTCCAACTTTGTTCTGGAGATAAGATGTAATTCCAAGGGATTCCCAGGTCCTGCCTGGAAGCTGGCATCCGTACATCAGATAAACTTTTCCTTTGGCTGGGAAAAGGCTTCACACTGTGCAAAGGAGTTATAAAAACAACTATATAAGTCATTGCACAGTAGTACAAAACAGACACAGAAAAAATGTAACACGAACATGCCCTGATGAGGATGGGACATGGCAGTCTCCCAGAATCACAACCGATTCTCAGACTACAGAGATCAGTTCCCCAGGAGAAAATGGGGGCTTTGGAGAGCAAACTCTATGGGATTATCATTCATTGAGGTCCTTCTCCAGGCTCCACCCCCAAGTCTCCAAGAATCCCACCCCAGAGTTGGCAACCCTGCCTGGTATCCTCATTCACATTAAACTGAGCGCCTCAGCTAGACTAGCCAGTTTTGGATTGAAAAATTCCTGGACATTTGGGAGGGTATGGAGGGGTGAGAAGGGACTTAAAAAGGTAAAGGTTCCCTTGCTCGAAAGGCAGTCGAGTCTGACTCTAGGGTTGCGGTGCTCATCTCCATTTCAAAGCTGAAGAGCCAGCGCTGTCCAAAGACGTTTCCGTGGTCATGTGGCCGGCATGACTAAACACCAAGGCGCACGGAACGCTGTTACCTTCACACCGAAGTGGTACCTATTTATCTACTTGCAATTTCTTGCTTTCGAACTGCTAAGTTGGCAGGAGCTGGAACTAGAGACGGGAGCTCACTCCGTCATGCGGCAACTCGAGTCTCGAACTGCTGAACTACTGACCTTCCACAGCCTGGAGTTCAGCGTCTTAACCACTTGAGCACTGCTTTAGTGGGGTGTAATTCCATAGAGTCTACCTTCCAAATTAAATATGAACAAAATATATAGCATGAGATGGCAACAAATATGCATAGACTCTTCTTTAAATTTACTTATAAATAATGTAATGGTGCCCAATAGAACTTATATTGCATACAAACCTTGTTATTTGTATCAGTACAAGTACTACAAAAGACAATATTGTCTACTTCTTACACCAACCCCTCTACAGAAGTAATTTCAGAAGTCTTCCATCTATGTAGAATTTATGTGGTGAGTAAATTACATGTAAGAGATTTATTTGTATCTTCATTGTATGTCTGCTGTTTGTTTGGTGACCTTTTTGCATTTTTTGTGTGCAGTAAGGGATTCTTTGATAAAGACAAAGAAATGGGCTGAAAGTAAACCGGGACCCCCTCAGAATCTTTCACATGCTGCATTGTGTAATAGAACATGCTGTTGTTTGTTTCGATGGGTTGCTGTAAGAAGTAGACAATATTGTCTTTTGTAGTGTCTTGATACAAATAACAAAGATTGTATGCAATATAAGTTCTATTGGGCACCGTTACATTATTTATAAGTAAATTTAAAGAAGAGTCTATGCTTATTTGTTGCCATCGCATGGTATATATTTTGTTCATATTAGTTTATATGCCCATGAGCCTGCAATTTGGTGTACCTTCCAAAGCAGCCATTTTCTTCAATGAAGGATTATTTCTCTGCCACCGTCCTAAATTTTTCCTTTCAAATGCTTCTTGGAAGCCTCATGGAGAAACTGAACATTCCCATCCGCTTCTCCAGTTGCACAAGACCCTATAGCGGATTTACATGCAAGGGACAACTGAAACTGAAAGGCACTTGGAATACAGGCTGGTCTGGTACTGGGTAAGGTCAGTAGCTAGCACAATACCCAAAAGGCAAATCCCGTGGTTATTTGTCTGGGAAGTGATTAAGAGACAATTATCTTTTTGTCTCTTGAATTTCCGGGATTTGCTGTTGCTCTGAGAAACTTCCTGCCTGTCTTCCTTTGGTATTTATACCCAATGGGCAGTGTTCCCTCTAAGCTGAGTTAGTGTGAGCTAGCTCACAGTTTTTTAGCCTCCGGCTCACAGAGTTTTGTCTTAGCTCAGGAAGGGTGGCTCCAAAGCAAACTAATTTATGCAGTCGCCAAATCACTCGTTCACAGCTTTAATGCCAGTAGCTCACAAAGTAGAATTTTTGCTCACAAGACTCCATAGCTTAGAGAGAGCATTGCCAATGGGTGTCCAAAGCAACTGGCAACATCCTTCTTCCTTCTATTTTATCCCCAGAACAACAACCTTGTGAGTTATGTTAGGCTAAAAGAGTGTGACTGTCCGAAGGTGAGCCAGAGAATGGGGATTTGAATCTGAGCTCTCTTGTCAAGGGCAGTGAGTGACTTTCTTCCTCTCTGGATTCTGCCACATTATTTCCCCGCCCCATCCCTTCACACATGGATTGCTGTCATGGTTTTGCTCTGCTGTTTCTGCAGCTTAGGCGAAGTCTAGGAATGCACCATTTGATAGTACAAAGCTTATTCAGGTTCCCAGTTCTGTTCATTGTTTTAGTATTAAGCATAACAACATTCCAGAGCATTATATTGCTCCCTCTAAGCTGTGGAGTCTTGTGAACAAAAATTCTACTTTGTGAGCTACGGGCATTAAAGTTGTGAGCCAGCGATTTGGCTACTGCATAAATGAGTTTGCTCTGGAACCATCCATCCTAAGCTAAGACAGGAATGTATGAGCTGGAGGCTAAAAACCTGTGCGCTTTTGTTGTTGTTCAGTCGCAAAGTCGAGTCCGACTCTTTGCGACCCCATGGACCAGATCACGCCAGGCCTTCCTGTCTTCCGCCGTCCTCTGACGTTTGCTCAATTTCATGTTGGTTGCATCGATGACACTGTCTAACCATCTCATCCTTTGTCGTCCCCGTCTTCTTTGACCTTCAATCTTTCCCAGCATCAGGGTCTTCTCCAGTGAGTGCTCCCTTCTCATTTGGTGGCCAAAGTATTTGAGCTTCAGTTTCATTATCTGGCCTTCCAGGGAACAGTCAGGGTTGATTTCTTTTAGGATTGACTGATTTGATCTTCTTGCAGTCCAAGGGACTCTCAAGAGTCTTCTCCAGCACCAGACTAACTCAGCTTAGAGGGAACAATGAGTCAAACTGTAGAAGAGATAGGTCCATGCCATACAACTGAATGGGCCCACTAGAAGGAAAGAAAGGCTGGAAAGGAAGAGAAACGGAAATACTAACTGTTGCACAATGTTACAGAAAGATGTTATGTAACGACCAGACAAAATAATTGCTGGCAGAGATGCTTCTGGGAAGGCAGGAGCCAAAGAGCAGATGTTCTCGGTGATTGCAAAGGGCTTTCCATCTCATAAAAATGTCAGAAGAGATCAGACCGGTGGTCTGCCTCGTCCAATGTCCTGTTTCACACAACTGTTTCACACAGTTGTCCTGGAGGGCCTACAGACGGGACAAAAAGTCCCAGCCAGGCCTTTACGTGATGTTGCCTCCCAGCACTGGCATTCTGAGGTTTATCGCCTCTCTTCATGGAGGTTCCCTTTAGCCACAAAACCTGCTTGGCCATTGATGGACCTCTCATCCATGAATCCATCTAAAAACCCTTTTAAAGCCGTCCATGCTAGTGGCTATCTGTCAGACTTTGGAGTCTGCATCCTGTGCATTCTGCAATTTAATTACTCATTTAGTCAGTATTTGGGGGGGTACAGCCTGAATCTGTCCATCAACTTCATTGGGTGCCCCTCAAAGTTTAGATTATGGGAGAGGGGAGTTCTCTT